CCAGACCCCTCAGCCCCTCTGGTCCGAGAGTCATCTAGCTTAGGACGCAGATGCAAGGTCACAGAAAGAGGGCCTCTTAAGCACAGACCCTCTTCTGAACTGGGCCCTGCTGGGCAACTTCTCAGAGCTCTGCACAAGCCCCTACCCTTATTTCTGGTTCTCTTATCTCCCAGGACACACGGCTTCTCTGAGCCTTGACTCACCCCCTCTCTTTGGTGACCATGAACTAGATAAATAAATCCTAGTGGCCATAGAGGCAGCCAGCTACACCCAGAGGGGTGGCAGCAGGGACAGCGGTCCCCCAGGTTGGGAAGGTCCCCCAGGCTGGGAAGGTAGGAAGTTGGAGCAGGAAGGTGAGGAATGGGTAGTGCTTGGGAGGCCCTGACAGAGTCTGCCATGTTCTTAACCTTAGTCTGAGCTCCATCTGGCTGCTCCTGCCTCGCTGTCCTTCTGACAACCTGGGTGGGGCGCCCGAGGAGAGAAGATTCTGCCGTCCACCAGGCTGACTGTCCAGCTCCAACCCTCAGCCAGACTTCAGTCCAGATCCCTCACCTGAGTCCAGGGAACTTCCAAGAAAGGCTTAGCAGGCTGTGGGGACTTACTTCTAGTCTGGGGAGAAAAGGTGTCAATGTCACTGAGACCTCCCATGCCCACCCTATCCAAGGAAGTCCCATCTGGTTGCTTATTGCTGGATCCAGTTAGTTTTCTTCGTAGAGCTGATCACCACGTATAACTATTCATGTCTTCTTTCCTATCCATGCTCCTAGTTCTCCAGCAGAGCTGTGGCACTCCGAGGTCAGACATCTGCCTCTGTGCTCGCCGCACATCTGTGCCCAGTGTATGGCACAGAGCTCTGCAAGTCTACAACAAATGGATAGACTGCTGAGTGACCAGCTTGGCAGGTGACCTTCCCTGACGGCCAGTGTGGATCTTTCTTGAGGGTTCCAAGGTTTTCCCACACAGGAAGAGGGAGGGTAACAAAAACAAGGCCAGAAAGGCTGGCATCCCAAAGGAAAGGTTAACCAGAAGCCAGGCATCTACACCAGCCAACCCTACCTGGTCCCCTTCACCATGTCGGGCATGAATATACACATATTATATATATACAGGCACCCATACTGATTCCTGGACCAGTCTTAGGAAGCTTGCCCCGTGTCTAGAGTCCTTTCTCTAAGTAGTCCCATGACCTCATTCATATATATCACACACCCTTCTGCAGGTCTATCTCCTCCACAGAAATAAACAGAGAGGTCGACCCAGGCTTGTGCTCCTCCAGCACAGGCCAGCACCACAATCACCCACCATGCAAGTGAGAGCAGAGGTGCCTCCCCCGACTCCTGCAAATGTTAAAACGTTATGATGGGAATGGGCCCTGAGGATGTTTTTAAACACATTCTTCACAGGATCCCGAAGCAACTGGTCCAGTAACTGGCATTAAAGACTATGGACGGATGCTAGACATGGTGGCACACGCCTTTCATCCCAGCCCTTGGGAAGCAGAGGCAGGTGGATCTCTGAGTTCAAGAGCAGCCTGGTCTACACAATGAGTTCCAGAATAGCCAGAGCTACACGGAAAAACCCTGTATTGATAAACAAACAAACAAATGAAGAAAGAAAGAAAGAAAGAAAGAAAGAAAGAAAGAAAGAAAGAAAGAAAGAGAGAAAACCATAGTGCATTTATCTGGACACGTATGAAAAAGCAAACTCCTACATAGGTAGACATCCCCTAAAACCAATCCACAGGCTCTATATACCTCACACAGAGCCATAACTTGCAAAGGTGCACATGACACAGAAGACACACATCTGTGCCACATGTGTGCATACTCCCAAACACTCAACAGAGCCAGCACATGGATCACAGATTGCCACAGAACCACCACATTGACACACACACAGCCCTGGGCAAACACAGACACCCACCACACACCCCGTGCACACACACATATCATATGGAGGCTCACACTAAACAGATGCTAGCCTGAATTTATTTTGCCTCTGGGAACAGGTCCAGAACTAAAGGAGCCATGCTCTGCTGATGAAAACATCCCTCCTGCCTCTGCCACCCCCACCCCTTGCCCCAGGCAGCACACTGTCCACCGCCCCTTGAATGACTGGAGGAGGGCAGTGGAGAGAAAGACGGGGATAAGAGGAGGGAGAGGCTGAAGGTGGTGTTTTAATCTGCTTGGAGACATCCCCAAATCCAGCCCAGGTCTCTTGCTTTGCCCACCAGGAGACACCATGGGGCCCCAAGTCAGTGCTTGGTCAGGCCAGTTGACTGGATTCCCAGGCCCTGGCCCTACAGAGTGAAAGGCTTAGGGAGTAGCTAGATGTGGAGGCCCCCAGTACGTGGGTCACTAAGGAAAGGGCTGTCTGGAGCGCCTTCCTGCAGCCCTAAGGCCTGAGGCCCCCATGGAATGTTACCACAGAAACAGGGAAAATATTATAAGGAACACAATACCCGGCAGAGTCACCTGCTCACCAGGCTTCCTGCTGTGCTACCCACCCCCCATCTCAGGGCACTTAGAGCCTTCCCTGGCCTCAACCTGGGCCTCCAAGCCAGAGCGCTCCTTCCTGTCTCCCCTGGATTAGGGAAGCTGCTTCAAGCGAAAGCTCTGCCCTTCTGTGGTTCCAAACAACATCAGGGATGGCCCAGTGGGCCCCTCACTCCTAGTCCCTACCCACCCCCCAACACAGGAAATCAAGGCTTCCTGCCCCAGAGGAAGTGCCCCATCTAGTGAACAAATCCAACATACACAAATTCAAAGTCCTGGAGCTGGCGGCTACAAGGGGACATGCCTTCAAGCCCTGCCATACCCCACACTCCCCTGCAGCCTCAATACCACATCTGACTAAGAAAGAGCTCAGGCAAGAATACGTACTGCCACAGGCCGGTCTGGTTGATGCCATTCCCTGGCTGGGTGACGCTAGGCCTTGCGTTATTAGCTCATCTTTCTCTGGGGCTGTTGTCAACTTTAAAGCTAAAAGTTCTTAAAGAAAGGCAAAGGCCAAAGAATGCAAAAAAAAAAAAAAAAAGTTTTCAAAGGTTTCCTTATTCCCAGTCGTGGGAAGTGTGTCTACAGCTACACTGGGCCCACATTTCCCATCCCATCACAACTGGGACTCTAGGAACTAGAGGTGAGAACCATTATCCCTGAGATAGGGACATAGGATGCTCTCCCTGTTCCCTTACTCCCTGGTGAACACTGGCTGGTTATTTCTGATTGGTCCCTCCAGTTCTGAGCTCTGGAAAGTGAACTGAGAATCCCCTCCTCAGCCTGTCATGTTGATTTTGAGAAAAGTGTGCTTAAGTGAGGTGATATGCTTAGAAGAGAAGCCTTCTCTGCCTCAAAGCTCAGCTTATGCCCCTGAGATGCAGAAAAATACCCCTGCTACGGGGCCAAACTGAGCAGCAGGGTGTTCAGCTGCACCCTGTACCCAACCTTTCTAAAGCACAGCTCTGAGTGTCTAAGCTTGGAAGGGATATCAGAAAACTAAAGATAGAGACGCAAGCCCAGCCCCAGCAGGTTCAGGACCTGGTCCAATCTTAGTTATCTGGGTACCATACAGTGGAGCTGCTCTGTGCCTCAGTTTCCCCCAGGAGTGACTGTAAAGAAGAAAATAATGTAGTTACTGAGGGGAGACGTCAGGCTGCAGGGCGCAAGGAGGTAAGAGTGATTTGCAGCGGCTAGAGAAAAGGCTGGGTTGGTTCGAGAAGGTTGGCACAGAGGGGGGCAGGTATGGCAGCCTATTGGAGTCCTCCAATTGGAAGAGATGGGTCACCTAAGTGCAAGATAGAGGATAGAAACCAACCAAAGTCACAGACTGTAATGCCTGGGCCAGGAATTTGAGCAAAGTCTCATAAGTCTAGGTGAAAGTCTGGAGGGCTAGCTCCTGATTCCAGATGTTGAGCTCCTTCCAGGGCCACCGAGGGCCAATGTCCTATTATCACCCTAAAAATTTGGCAGGCAGAACTGGGCCTCAAGCAGATGCTGAGTTGGGATGTGGGAAGGGATAGTTAGCAGCAAGCCAACCCGCGCCAGATGATGCAGGATGCTTTGGGGGAATGCTGGACAGCCAGCAACGACAGTTAAGTGAACCAATGGCCAGCCCCAAGTCGGCCCCAAACCGGCAGCCGGTGAGAAGGAAGTGGAACTCATTAGGTGACCTGCAGGACCTAGGTTTTTCTTCCAACTTACTGGCCGAGAAATCGTAGTCGTGAAAAGACAGCTCTGCTGCCAGATTTGCCCGGGTTCTCATACTTTTCAGCACTATCAGACTGGGGGTGGGGGTGGGGGAGAGGCATCCAGCTCCCCTTCTCCCTACCTCAGTACTCAGCCTGCGGCCCCCACTTCCCCACACCTTTAAGGACACTGCCTTCCCAGTTCAGTTGGGCATGGTGTCTGTTTCTCCTCTGTGATGGGTGATCAAGGATAAGGGATGATGCTCAGAGAAATCTCCCAGCCCAGTACCACTCCAGGGGACGTTTTTCCCTCGGCTACGAGATCTGAGTAGGGCCCTGCCCGGTTCTACGAGATGGGGGGCTGATGCCCAGTCCCGCAAGTCCTGCCCCAGTTCAGTGGGTCCTAGCCTTTGCCCTCTGGCTTCCAAACCTTCCGCCCCGGAGCACCGCCCCCTCCCGGGCCTCGGCGGCCGGCCGTGCCTCCAGGATCCCGGGGAGGAGGGTGACGGGACGCCCGGCCCATGCACAGGCGGCCCCGGGCCTCCCACTGCCTCCCCGGGGCCTGTCGCTGCCCGGGAGCGGGCGGATGTGGGCGCCCCGCAGAAGGCCGGAGCCCTTCGGCCCCGGAACCAACCCGGGCCGCCAGCGGGCCAGAGCCCCGGCGAGCGGGCGCGGTCCAGGGCGCGCCGAGGAAGGACCCAGCCAGCCGGACCGGCCGGAGCCCCAGCCGCAGCCGGAGCCGGAGCCGAGGCGGGCAGCGCAGGGTGCCGCGCGCAGGGCGGGGCGGGCGGGGAGGGGGTGGCCGCCCGGTACTCACCCGCGCCGGGGCTGTGCATCCAGGGGCCGGGGCCCTCAGAGCCGGGGGCTCATGGCGGGCGGGGGGCCGGGGCGCCGGCCTCACATCCCCCCGGTCGCCGGAGGCTGCAGAGCGACTGTGAGACGGCGAGAGGAAGGGAGGGGGCCGGGAGGGGGAGGGCCCTGGCAGCCTGGCCGGCCGGGTAGGATGACAATGGAAGGAAATGCTTTATCTGAGTCTGAGAGCGGGCCAAGGGGGAGGGGAGGGAGGGGGCCGGCGCTGGCGGCCCTGGGACACACCACCCGGGCTTCGCTCAGCGGCACACAGGCTGGACGCAGACAGCGATCGCCGCTGGGCACGGCTCACCGGCCGGGAGGCAGCGCCGAACCCGGAACGCGGGACGCGGCCGGACCCGCGCGCTGCCGCCGAAGCCCCAGCCGCCGCGCGGCGCTGCGCCCCGCGCACAATTCCCGGAAACCCAGATACCTGAGTGCACGCACCCGTGCATACACAGCGTACACGAGCGTGCATCCATGTTTACACAAGCCAGGGTGGTTTGCGCTTCGGGGAGGGACTCCTGTGCACACATCTACACACTGAAGTCAACGAGGGGAGCGCTACATACAGGGAGAGCAGGGCACGCTTGGAGTCGCGAGCAAGGAATCCCAGACGGACACCCCCGCCCCATCCTACCCCTCACACACACAAGCGGGACTCGCCTCAGGAACGCTTCAGGATCTGATTTGAACCACTGCCCAGCCCAACCCCAGTGGCACCCCCCACACACACTGTCTGCTGAGGGGAGCAGAAGGGTCCAGTCTGTTCCTATTAAAAGAAAAAAGGGGGTGGGGTGAAACTTTTTTAAAAAAGAAATTTCTCAAGGGGTTTCCTTCCATCCTCTCTTCTTCCATTCCTCTCCCTCCACAATGACCCTCCTTTGCCCCCCCCTCCTGGTCCCTATGAGTCAAACTTCAGCAATGTGCCCAGTGTCCCCCAGTGCATTACAGCGGATCACAGAAATGTTCCAGTCTGTGAGTCGGAATGCAAACGCCTCCAGCCCTCCCTCAGCTAATAAACTCAGCTGAGGGCTGGCTTCGCACTGTAGCCCTCCCTGCCTCTCCCCCAATCTCCTCTTAGATGGGCGAGGTCAGATTCAAGGGTCAGGGGCTGAGGACCTTCCCAGTGTGCTTCCTGGCTTGGCCTGTCAGCCCCGTTGCCTCCAGCGATTTGGCAGGTCAGAAAACTGGGAAGGGAGAGAGGTCACCCACCAGGAACACTATGCCCCCCTGCCTGTGAGGTGCCAGCCACCACCGGAACGCAGCTTCCTTCTGGTCTCAGTCTACTCTCTGAGTCCTAGGAACTCTCTGAGTCCTAGGGAACTGAGGCAGACCTAGAGATGTGTTATCTTGGAAGCCACAGTCTTGAGTGGCCTAGAGGGACGTTGGGGCATGTTGCTGGGTCACAGCTCTAGGCTCATGCTCTCTTGTTTAGCTGCTAAGTTTAACCCCTCTGTACCTGTGGATGGGATGGGTACTGCCCTAGCAGCCATGGCCTCTGGCAGTGTGGTACCACACATGTCGATGCCCAGTGCCTCCTGGTACTTTGCTCAGAGATAGTTACTGTTAGTACTACTGCTGTAGCCAGCCCTGTGGGCTAGCAGCCAGCCCTGTGGGCTAGCCGGTCCCATCATGAACTTACCACTTCCTTGGCCTCGGCCTGACACACTCCCTAGAGCGTAAATGTCCACTCCACCTTTCTGCCTTCTATTGTTGAAATCCCTTCACCTCCTCTGAAATGTTTCATGATTTCTGTAGCCGGAAAGATTTTCTTTTCCTTCCTGGATTCTACCCGGGCACTGCTTTTGTCCGAGCCATACTGACCGTCAGCCATTTAGTCTACGAGTCTGAATCTCTTCTTTCTCACAAGCGTTCCATAAAAGGTACCGAGCTTGAAAGCACTACCTCGGCGTGGTGGCTTCCATTCCACAGAACAGCACAGAGTTCAAACTCTGAGGTCTTTCTTTGTTGACTCATGAATATTCATGACCTTCCGAGATCTTCCTCCCTCTCCTCCTCTAGACATCTCTAATAGACCCTCTGTCCAGTAATGTGTCCACTCCTCCAGACACTTGTTCATCTACTGAGCTGTCTTTCCAAACCAGAGCACTCTACTTCCAACATCTTCCATGAGGGCTATAGCCTTCAGGAAAAACAAACAAACAAACAAACAAACAAACCAGTTTATAGAAGACCCCCCAATCTCTCTTGTTATCTCTCTCCTCCTGTAACCATACATTGGCCTCACATACCTGTCTTCCTTTCCTAAAGCTGTTTCTGTGCTGAATTTCTTGTTTATTTCTACTGGTGCGGTATTCATGTGTTTGCTCGTGAAGCTGCCTTTTCTCTTTAATCTACCCACTGACTTATGAGTGGCCACAGGTCTATGCCTGCCACTAGTCTATGCTAGACACCGGTCAATGCTCACAATGCTCACTGTGGCTTTCGGCTCACACCAGAACTCACTACCTGCAAAATGTGGCAGCATGTGCAGCATGTGTGCTGAGCCGGATCCTTCATGCTGTCGGAGTCACCTATGACTCCAACATCCCCTGTCTCACAATGGACTCCCAACCATTGCTAAGTCATGTTCCCTAGTGGCATATGTTAGCCTCTGGGGACCCCTAGAGATATACCACAGAAAAATGCAGGCTGCCTCCTTCTTGCTATGGTGATTACCATGGGAGGTTTCTCAAGAGCCCTTGAATCCAGACTACTCACAGCCTGCTCAGCTGAACACAAGGTGTAAGAGACAGGCCCTGAGCCTGGCAGCGGAGGAGGGGGAGCATATGTTCACCCCAGCACTAGGGAGGCAGGGGCAGGGGTAGAGAGGCAGAGAGACAGAGGCAGGTGGATCTCCATGAGTTCAGTACTAGCCTGGTCTAACAGAGCAAGTTCTAGGACATCCAGGGCTACACAGAGAAACTCTGTCTGGGGGTCAGGGGGAAGGGGAAGGACTGGCCTTGTAGGATCTGCCTTGAGTCCTTCGAAGCTCCCCCTGCCAGGGGTCTCTGGACAACAAAAAGTCTTCATACCCTTTCTGTTTTCTGTTGACTTAAAGCCTTCAAAACCTTTTCTTTCTTCTTGTCTTTTCCTCTTGCCTTGGTCGGCTACCTCTTACCAAGTGTTTACAAATAGCCCCATTCCAGCCTTCGGACAAATATCAGGTCACTTACTCTTCTGTCACGTTCTGAAGAGTTGTTTATTTTTATATTATGCGTGTGAGTATTTGGTCTGCATGCATGTATGCATGTAGAGTGTTCGAAGAGGACAGTGGAGGTTGTCTGCCATCCTGGAGCCAGGAAGGTTTGTCAGATCCACTGGAACTTTATTTAATCTACCAACGGTTGTGAGCTTATATGTGGGTATTAGGGACTCCAGGACCTCTGCAAGAGCAGCTGGTGTTCTCAGCCTCTGAGCCATCTCTCCAGCTCCCGACCCCATTTCTTAATTATCGTTGTTATGCTCATAAATCAAATATGGCCCATAAAGGTGAAGAAACCTGACCGAAGTTGCTCAACAACTTACAGGTCATTAGCTCATTCAACAAATGCTGTTGGGAGTCTACTTAAAGCCGGGATTCAAAGTTGCAGAAAAGTATCGAGTCTGAGTGTCAGAGCACTAGAGACCACACCTGTGTGAGCCTTCCACAAGTGCTGACTGCAGCTACCCCAACCTGCACTTATTCTCACACAGGCCTCACAAAGCCAGCCAGGGTGTGCTCACTCCCCAAGGCCCCCAGGAGTCCTCAGGGGACAGCATTGCATAGACTTGGGTTGAGCCCCCAATCAAATCCCAACTGCTTTTGGACTTTTAGATTAACAGGGTAGGTTAAGTCCTCAACTCCAAATGAAGGGTTTCCTGGGACTCGAAAGAAGTAGAAGGAACAAGCCTGGGAGATGGGATGGCTCAGTGGTCAGCCTGGTGTGCAGGCGTGAGGAGGAGAGTTCAAATCCCCACAACTAGCATGAAAGCTGGCAGGTGTGACAGCTGCCTGTAATCCTAGCATTCTGGAAGCAGAGTTGGGATTCTTGGAGGAGGGTAGTCGTCGAGCTGGCTAGCTAGCTCCAAGTTCAATAAGAGACCCAGCCTCGATAAATAAAAGCGAAGAGCAGATCAGTTAGGGAAGACATCGTGCCAACCTCAGGCCTCCATATTCTCCTTCAGATGTGTATACTGGCACCTACACACATCCAAACACCAAGCATGCACACGCATGTGCACACACACACACACACATACACGCAAGCACACATACAGAATAAAATAATAAAATAAGAGGCCCAAGAGAAGGTTCAGTGGTTAAGAGTGCTGAGTGTCCTTGCAGAGAACTTGAGTTCAGTTCCCAGAATCCACTCAGGTGGCTCATAACTGACTGTAACTCCAGGTCCAGGGGCTCAGACACTTCTGAGGGTACTCTACACACCCACACCCACCCACCCCCACACACACGAATAAACCTCCTGTGTATCCCGTGCTATTCAGGAACTCTGGCTTGCATCTCTCACTACGGCACCAATGCTTTAGTGAGCAAAGTTGAAGACAGAAAGAGCAAGCCATTTGTCCAAGGCCACACTGCCAGCAAGTGGCTTGATCCTAGTCTATCTGACTCAGAGCCTGTGTACTCTAGCGAATCCAAACTGTAGAGACCCATGCCAGGGTCTCTTGCTCTGGTGTAGCCTGGTTACTTGAGGTTTCTGTTGATCTCTGTTTGTCACTCCAGATAACCGGTTTCCCATCTCACCGAACCCAGCCACATGGACTCATCTTTGTCCTCCATCTTTCTCCGCTGCATTGCATAGGCAGGGTCAACAGGCTGTATGAATATTCTGGGTAAAGTTGAGGGTGTGGCTTAGGGGTGCAAGCACTCTGGTAGACCCTACCCTATGAGTTCACCTTCTAAGAGACAGGAAGTGTTACTGTGTCACTCGGCTTGAGTGGAGTGGTTGGATTATAAAGGCTGTGTGTGCGGCCATGGCTCTCCATCCAGATAGCTCAGGCTGGGAGGGCTAATGACTTCGGGCAATGGAACAGGCTCAGAACTACCCAAGTCTCTTCCCTCTTCCCCTCACCTCCCTCCAGAGTCAACAAAGGTGATGTGGTTTCTCTTGTGGTCTGTTGCCCTAGACACCTGCAGCTCTGAATATACGTTGTGTCTGTGTGCTGGCAAAGTGGTGGGGAGATGCAGGGAGAAAGCACTGGGACAGGATGGGGAGGGGCAGGAAGCCAGGGACCATCTCTTCAACCCCAAGTTGAAGAGGAAACTAGTGCAAATGTTAGCAGAGGTTACCCCTTGACGACCCCCACAAGGAGCATAAGGAAAGAGCTGGAAGAGAAGCATTGTCAATCTCAGGATCCTGGGCTGGGAGTAGGG